ATCTTCCAGAGGTCTCAGGTTCAAATCCCAGAAACCACATGGTAGCTCACAGTCAGCTGTCAATCCAGTGTCCAGGGATTCAGTGCCTGTTTCTGACTTCCATGGGAGCCAGGCAGGCAAATGGTACAAACACCCATAAGCAGGAGAAAGAGAGACAGAGAGACAGACAGAGACAGGGAGGTAAATCTAAACCCTGAGACCCCAACTCACTTGCTTTCCAAGACTCCCAAGAGTCACGGTGACACCTGCTGACATGATCTCAGGATCACAGCTCCCTGACGTAGGTAGGAGAGGTAAGGTTGGCTCTTGCAGAACAGACTTGAGGACTGTTCTGGTTGTCAAGACTCAAGTTAGAAGGCTATCTCTAGAGCCAGGATATGGGTGAGGTCATCCATGGCAAACCGAAAGGCGCACAGAAGAAGGAGTGATCTTCTGAAGAGGACTGATGTTCACGGGGGCCTCCACCCTGCTGCACACGCTCACTCCCAGCAGCTGGGCAGGGGCTGTGGGCAGGGAATGTTTCTAGTTAAGAGTGTAGAAATGAGGCTGCCTCCCCTGAGATCGCTCCTGCCATGAGGCTCTATTTCTCATTCTTTCACTGGACTGACTCCAGGAGACATCCAGGAGCTCCCTCAGGCCACCAAGAGGATGATTGGCTCAGAGTTGAGAAAGGTCAAAGGCTTTGCTCCTTGGGGGTTAGGAGTGGGACCCCCCCCCCCCAGAAGGCTTTGCCGCTATTTAGAACCCAGAAGCAGCCACTTGGGTGTGTTCAGGATTTTGATGATTTGCAAACTTCATGAAGTTTCCATGATATTACTGTGGGCAGCTGGGAGCTACGGTAAGCACGGCCATCCAGAGGGAATGTCACCCTTGGCAGACTCCTGCACGGTGGATGCCTGGTTCAGATGCCAGGTTCACTCCCTGCCAGCTTGAAGCCACTTTGTGCATGAAGGGCAGGCACTCTGGAAGACCTGCTCACTGGAATCAGACATCTTCCAGAATCTCCACGGAGCTCCAATGACTGAAATTTCCAGTTGTTTTTGCCCAGAACTGTCTGTCTCTGTGGCCTGCCCCTGCCATCCCCACCTCCATCCCCATGCTGCCTTTATGTTGGCCTGGGAGGCTGAACTGGGAGACAGCAGGAGAAAAGAGGGTCTTGGGAAGTCAGAAGGCAGCCCTGGTCTCAGTCTATCCTGTCTTGATCCTAAGTGTCAGGTGAGGGTTGAGCATCTGCTCCCTAGGCCTTGGTTTCCTAACCCTGAAGATGAAGAAGGGTGAGAGGAAGTCTGGAGGTCACAGGTGGTTTAATTCTTTTCCTGGGCAAGAGCCGCCTGGAGAGGTTTTGTGTGTGTGTATGTGTGTGTGTGTATGCATGCGTGTGTGTGTGTATTGGTGGGGGCTCTGACAGAGGTCCTGCCTAGAATCTACCAGTGAGTGACTGAGGGTGTCATTCGGTGGAAGAACCTTACTGAGAGTTCAGCAGTGAAGCATTAGGCAGCATGACTCAGCAGTACAGCTTGCATTCAATCCACTCTCAAGGGACTGGAGACATGACTTGGTGACAGACCTTGCCTAGACTCTAACAGCGAGGAGCTGGGGGCATGGCTTAGCCATAGACCACTTGTCTAGAGTCCACTATTGATGGGTAGGGTCCATGTGTCTGTCAGTGGTAGAACACCGGCCTAGAATCCTCCAGCGAGGGCCCAGAGCTCAGTGAGAGAACACTTGACTAGCATGCCCGACACCCTAAGTTCAGCCTCCACAACTGAAGATCTCCTTGCACCCATCCATCCGGTCTTTATGCCCAAGATGAACCAAGGGAGTCATATGTTCTGAGACAGTTTGAGAGCAGGAGGGAAACAGACTGGTGAGTCCGGAGGGCAGAGCTGGAGGAGAGAGAGAATGTGAGAAGTGTCTGTGTACAGAATTCCCCTCCTCTAGGATCTGAACTGCACCTACACAGCCTGGGCCACGTTCACCCCTGTGTTCTTGCTGGAAGGACTCCCACTCAGCCCAAATGGAGCTCCTTGGGTACAGCACTGTACAACCCCACTCCTATGCATATTTCCTCACGCACTGGGGTAGCCACAGGGTCCTGGGCCCCCAGGGCATCCGCAGATAGGGTGTTGCTGGAAGGGGGAAGGAAGAGGCAGAAACAAGGGTGGAGCTGGGAGATTCAAGAGTGTCTGACTAGATTGCCCACTGCAGGTGCTGACAGAAGTAGGACAAGCAGGTGGGAATGAGGTCAGAGTTTGAGAGCTGTCTTGATTACTCTTCTGTTGCTGTGAGGAGACACCATGACGAAGGCAACTTATAAGAGAAAAACATTTAATTTTGGGGGCTTCCTTATAGTTTCAGAGTTCGGTGGTAGGAGGGTTGGGGTGAGAAAGGGTGAGAAAGGCTGGGTCTGGTGGCACACACGGGCTTTTGAAACCTCAAAGCCCACCCCCAGTGACACACCTTCTTTAACAAGGCCACACTTTCCTAATCTTTCCCATACAAGTTCCATTCCCTGGTGACTAAGCATTCAGAATATATGAGCCCTGTGCTGTGAAGCGGTGGTGGCGCATGACACCTTCAATCCCAGCACTCCAGAGGCAGAGGTAGACAGGTCTCTGAGTTTAAGGCCAGCCTGGTCTACAGAGCGAGTTCCAGGACAGCCAAGGCTACACAGAGAAACCCTGTCTTTAAAAATAAAACAAAACAAATCAAATCAAATATGGGGACCATTCTCATTCAAAGCACCATATTTTCCCATAATGCCCCAGAAGCTAGGGGAGGTGCTGATGCCTTCAAAAGAATCATCTGTGATTGCTCAGCACTTCACGGGGCACCAAATGGGATACTCTGTGGAAAGGTGGGGAAGCCAGGGCAGGGGAACATAGACAGACATGCCCATCATTCAGGCTGCAGAGTGGAGGTGGTGTCTATGCTGGAAGGCTGAACATCCTGGCTTGAGCAGGGGAGTGATTGGCAGCCAGAAAGCAGCTCTGGGAAGCTGAGGCAGACTGGCAGTCTGGCACTGCTCTAACCCCCTTCTTTTGCCCTCTGAACACAGTTCCGAGCGAGACTGCCTGGATTGAGGCAGAGCATATACAAGGAGGATGTGGGCTTTCACAAGTGGGAGCCTCTGCAGACAGTGGCAAGGGCTGAGGCTTAAGCTTGGGGGTGACCAGAACTCGATGATCTACCTTGTGAACCGTTCCCCACACCCAGCGACAGTCCTGCCCCTCCCCACAGCCCCTGTCTGGGTAGGTCACATCCTGGAGGCCTCAGGAACAAGCAGGCCAAGAGGAAGTGGTTGGCCTTGTTTTGTACCTGTCCCAAGACTTCAGGTTCTGACCTGAGAACTGGGTCAGCCTTTGAATCACGCTTATAAGGTCCCAGTCCCAGCAGGTGATCCAAATTGCTCCAGCAGGGCTGAGAGCAAGGGAGAGGCCAGAGTGGCAGTCGGGTGTCCACTTAGATAGCAGAGCCTCAGCCAATCAGCGGGACAGATGCAATCTTTCCAGAAACTTCTACAGTATGGTGGGCACTTCTGCCCCAGCCTTGAGGGCACCTCACAGTGGGTGTCAGGAAGAACTTGCCCTGCATCTGGGACCCTGTGCATCAATTAGCTATTGGAACCTTGGGGTCAAGCCCATCCATGGTGTGTGGGCATCTTTCTGGTATCATTTTCTTCAAATGAGACCCTGAGGTGGGAGAGCTGGCTCAAGTGTTGGATCTTCCATTCAGCGGAGGACCTGATCACACTGTTATAGAATGGCTGGTCTTCTCCACTTGCCCTTCAGCAGTGCGGGTGGGTCCTTTTACCCAGAGCTTTACAGCAGGGTTTTTTACTTTTTAAATAGTAAACATTCTAACTGGAGTGAAATGACAGGTCAGTGAAGTTTTGATTTATATATCTCTGATGGTTAATCATACTAAGTATTAATATATATTAATTATATATTATCAATATATGATTATACATAGTATTAATATATGAAAAATATATAATGTATATTTTTCATTACTTCTTTTGAAAAGTGCCTATTTGCCCAATTTTACAACATAGCTTGAATTTTCTTGTTGTTTGTTTATCTGAGGCAGAATCTCATTATGCAGCCCAGACTGGTCTTAAACTCACAAACTGGCAGTGCCACCCCATGACTCAGGGGGCAAAGGCAGGCGGGTCTCTGTGAGTTCGATGCCAGCCTGGTCTACGTAGTAAATCTCAAGCCAGCTAAGGCTAAAGTGAGATCCTGTCTCAACACACCTTTCTGTTTGTTTTTCCTTCCTGCTGCCAGTCTGTCCACTCGTTTGAGTTTTTTCAGTTGACTGTAGCCCTCCTGTCTACTTTTGCTTTTGGCGTCATGTGGAAAATCATCATCTATATAAGTCTCATGAAAGTCTGCTGGTGCCTACAAGGCAGAGAGAGAGAACTGACTCCTGCCAGCTGTCCTCTGACCTCCACATGGCACATGCCAACCCACGCCTACACAAATAAGTGTAATACTTCTTATCTTTTAAAATTCTCTTTGAGACAGGGTGCCTTATTTCGGGTTTCTATTGCTGCAATGGAACACCATGACCAAAAAAGCAAGTTGGGGAGGAAAGGGTTAATTTGGTTTACACTTCCACACTTTGCTGTTCTTCACTGAAGGAAGTCAGGACAGGAACTCAAACAGGGCAGGAGCCTGATGCAGAGGCCATGGAGGGGAGCTGCTTACTGGCTTGCTTCCCGTGGGTCACTCAGCCTGCTTTCTTATAGAACCCAGGACCAGTAGCCCAGGGATGGTACCACTCGCCGTGGGCTGGGCCTCCTGCACTGAGCACTAATTGAGAAAATGCCTTAGAGCAGGACCTCATGGAGGCATTTCCTCAGCTGAGGCTCCTTCCTCTCTGATGACTCTCACTTGTGTCAAGGTGACACACAAAACCACCCAGTACACAGGGTTTCTCAGAGTAGCCCTGGCTGACTGTCTTAGAACTTGTTCTATGGACCAGGCAGGCCTTGCACTCAGAGATCCACCTACCTCTGCTTTCCAAGTGCTGGGATTAAAGGTATGTACCACTATGCCCAACCACAAAAGAAAATTTAACAAAATAGCTAAGAATCGGTATCCCAGTCCTCAGGGATACCAAGGGAAAGCCTGTGGAGGCCCCTTATTCTGAGGTGCCAACAAATGCCTCCTTTCCCAGGAAGTCTTTTAGGCCATCCTTTTTGAGCCTCAAGAAGACTTTGTGTGACCTCTCTTTGTCTCGACATGGAGCACAGATAGACTTTAGTAAGTGGGCACCAGCATTCACCCTCATTATCACAGGGACAACATTCCTGGGGCCCCAGGATCCCCTGCCTTCCTCCCCACCTGGGCAGATTACATTTGGATGTCATTAGTTTTCTGTAAGTGGCAAAGTTCTCCTTTGAGAAAATGTGGCACCGAGAAGTCCCACGGCCAAGGCATAGGCTAGGACCCCTAACCATGTCCCTTGCACGGCCTCTCCTGGTATCTGAATCCTGTGCAAAGACTGGACCCCATTGACCTGCAAGAGCCGCCTGTCCTGATGCACTGGGCCCCAGCTGCAACCTTACGCCTGCCTCAGAACACCATCGGGCTGGACTCTGCACAGCTGCCTCAGACAACGCTGAGGCGCAAGTTCCCACGCTGCACTGCAGGGTCCTGGCCTCAGAGCACCTCTCTCTCTCTCACTCTCTCTCTCTCTCTCTCTTTCCAGGACAAGCAAGGCAGACCCCCTCCCAAGGACTAAATGCTGCCAGAGAATCACATGTTCCTGGCAGGGACAGTATTCACACAGCTGGGAGGACGCATTCCAGGGAGACTCAGCTGGCAGGACAGTGGGTTCCTGAGCCCTTGCCAGGCCTTGTGAACAGAGCCACGGGCAAGAGTGTGAAGCCTGGCCCCCACCCATCAGACATAGCTCTCAGATCCTGTTGGCCTTCAGTTCATTACTGGGTAAATAAGTCACTGGCAAGGAGCTGAGATGCTTAAGTCCATTCTGAGAACCCCTAAGTTCCTGGGTAGGCTGGTGGCCAGGGGCAAAGGTCAGCAGTATAGCCTTGACGTAGCCCTCAGCACCTTAGCTGGAAGTCCCAAGTGTGACCGGCACATGTCTGGGTGGCTGGGCAACGGCATGAGGCTGCACCTACTCCCCAGGCAGGCCCGTCTCTGAGAACAGCTTCAATACCATGTTTGCAAGCCTGGATCCCAGCCTGGCTGACCACAGTGCCTCAGTAAGGGACTGAGGATGATCTCCTCCGTGGTTCTTTCACTCCCCAGGCTCCGTTCTATGGGCACATGCTAGCTTTTTACTTTGTTTTGTTTTGTCTATACATCCTCATCAAACACTTTGATTATATTCACCCCATTTCTCTCTCTTGCCCCCTCCCTGGCTCCCTCTCTCTTCTTAAATAGTACCTTCTACATTCATATCTTTTCCTTAAAAATTAAGACACTGCCTGTGAGAGAAAACATGCGATCTTTGAGTCTGGCTTGTTTGGTGTCACATGGCAATCTCCAGTTCTATCCATTTCTCCGCAAATGACACGATGTCCTTCTCCTTGGTGTCTGGATACATCTCCAGTGTACGGGACATTATCTTTATCTGTTCACGTGCTGACGGACACCCAGGCTAGCTCCATATCGGCTGTTGTGACTATCGCTAGGATAATCATGCCCAAGTGTATGCTGACCACCAGATTGAACAGGGTCACCCCCAGATGTTTTGTTTGCTGAGGAGCCTGTACAATGGCGGCTACAGTGACCAGGGCACAGGTCTCCTCTTCCACAAAGGCTCAGCATTTTGTTTTCTTACACATCTTATTTCAAGGCCTTCATCCCTGTAGTTTGTTCCCCTCTATGCTTCAGCAGTGGGGGATACTCTGAGAGTTTCCAGGAAAAGAAGGTTCCAAGGGAATGAGTGAGGTTTGTGAGTCACCAGCCATGGGTGGAAGCGATGTGGCTGCCCAGTCTGGACTTCTGAGAAGACACCAGACCTAGCTTCAGGAAGCTGCTCTTCACCTAGGAACCTGTCTGGCCCTGTGCCCAAACAGGAGAAGCAGCCTGAACCAGTCTGTGTGGCCGACAGAGGCCACAAAGGGAAAGGGCTGCAAACAAACACATCCCCAGTCCTTCCCAGCCTGTCAGTGCCAGGACAGGAGAGGTCATAGGCAGCTCCTGGGCGCTCCATAGTCTACCCCTCCAGCACTCTTTGAAGAGTGGCCACATGTCTGTCAACTGCAGACTTTGGAATCTGAACCTAACCTACAGAATCAGAACATGGACAAAGACAATATTGTATTGGGGGAATGGAGCCCACCAATAATAGGGATTCACTGTATGAGAGTCGGAGGAAGCTTTCTTAGCTCCAAAGTCCCACATACAGCTGACAGTGACCACACTCTATACACAGGGACTCCATTCAAGGATAGCCAGGTACCGAGTCGTAAATAGCTGGGGAAAGCATGGTTTCTCAAGACAGGGATTTTAGGTAGCTAGGGCTGGCCTCAGACTCACAATCCAGGCTCTTTGAGCCCTGGAATCACAGGCATGAATTGCCATGCAGAGCTTTAAAGATGGCTTCCGAAGGGCCCTGTGAAGCTCTCTAGTCTACACACAAAGCTAGCGGCTCGCTCTCCAAATCATAGGCACCGTCTGCCGGGGCTGAGCCAGAGACTACATAGGCAAGTCTTTTCATTCCAGAAGGATCAGGCTGAGACAGACAAATACCTTGTTTCCTTTACCACCCATTTAGATAGCTCACACCAATAAACCAGGTGTAGTGGTACACGCTGGTAAGCCCAGCACCAGGGAGGCTGAGGCCAGAGGATCTCAAGTTTAAATCAGCCCTATGTAGCAAGTCTCTGTCTCAAAAGAAAAGGCAGGCAGGCAGGAAGGCAGGCTGGCTATCAGAATAACAGAATGGGGCTTTGTTCTTGGGCAGCCAGACACAGTGTGGCATGAATGTCTTACTGGGTGGGAGGCATTTCCAGGGATGCCCAGTGTGGCAGTATCAGTGATGGTTGTCCCTAGTCCCTCGGTTGAGCAGTGTCTGAAGCTAGGGTACTCTTAGAATTAGCAATCAAGATTTGTTTTTTTTTTTTTATTGGTAAGTCAGTCTGGATAGGGTTTCTGTCCTTGAAACCAGAGTCCTAAGGGAAAACATCACTTCTACTGACTGCAGATAGAGATAGGGGCAGGACAAACAGGCACCAGATGAGACCTTGATGGGTGGCCCTGGGTTGGGGGAAGCTCAGGGTAAAGCTCACCTGGGCCCAGAGGGCACACACAGTGCATCTGGGGTCCAGCTTGGCAGGACCCGGTGGCCAGGTGGTGCTATTTGCATGGTGGAAAGTGTCCAGGCCTGGCATGGCTATGCCTGTTAAGGGGCAGAGGTGGGAACGGGGTCTGAAGCTCAAGCTTCAGAGTGGAGTGGACCCCAACTCTGGTTTGGTCTTCCCTTTGCTCTCTTCAACCTTGGTCTTTTAATGCTTGGGATACCTGGCCTGGTCTAACCCCAAGGGCTAGATCTGTAGCCTGGTCACCAAGGGCTACATGTTCTGGGCCTTGTGAAATGGAAAGACAATTCTCTGACCAGAAGTAGAAGACGGCAGGAGGTTGTTGTCTAGCAGAAAGGCACTGGTAATGGCTCTGGAACAGCCACTGTCACATGCCCACTACTACCATGGGCAGGGCAGCAAAAATCGGAGTTCAGGACCTGTACTCTTGGGGCCCTGGGCAATGGACTGGCTTGATGCAGACACTCTGAAGGTGAGGGTCAACTGTGGAAGGCTGACCAGGAGACACCAGAAGCGTAGAACTCCACCTGGCTGGGCCAGTCGCCATCCCCATTGCCTTCTCTGTCCTCATCGGAGTCATCGTCATCGCCACTGGACGCACCGCAGACGGCGCCGCCTAGGTGGGTTGGCTGCCCGAGAGAGTCCCCGCACCTCTCCTTGGCCTCCTCGCTCCGCTTCTGGGCAGCTAGCTCTCGGTAACAGAGGCTGCAGACACGGAGAGGTTTCGGGGAGAGACGCGGCAGCAGGAAACGCTCCTTGGAACACTCAGCACAGACCACAAAACCACATTTGCGGCAGTGGTGACGCCGGGTGAGCGCCGAGAAGCGTGTCTGTGTGCAGCGCATGCAGATGTCCGTGGCCTTGTCAGGGATCCAGGGCGCTGCGTGCTCAGTGGTGGGCTGGCGGCCCGTGGCCAACAGCTGCCTCCGTACACACTCTTCAATGTGGCTGATCCACTCCTGGCGCTCCGTGGTGGAGGCTGCCGACACCACAAAGGACTTTTTGGCTGTCTTGATCATCCAGCGGTTCTTGGCCTGCAGGGTCTCTGGCAGCGTCTCCAATGTTACCTCTTCCAGGGGGATAATATGTTGGCTGCGGTACTTGCGTTTGCTAAGCACAATACTGCCGTACACCAGGATGTCATTGAAGAGGAAGAAGATGCGTGGCTTGGCCTTCTTGCGGCACTCCTTGGTCAGCACCCCCTCGCCCAGGAGCACACGGCCCGGCAGGGCCAGCGGCTGCCCTGATGCCCCGAAACAGCTCTCCACTGCTGCAATCCGCTGGCTGTTGATCTCTGTGTTTGCCAAGTGGTCCACCATCTTCTCAGTAGTTAGGCTGTAGGAGGCAGACAGGAAGCCATCAGCTTGTCCATGAAGTCAGAACTACACTGCTCACTGTCATCCCACGCCAGCTCACTCACCCACCAAACCAGACAAACCTATTATCCCACTGTGCCTCACAAGCTTACCCAGCCTCCTGAGCATGGAAGCTGAATGCTCCAGAGGCTGACCTGATACAAGGAGTGGAAGAAATGATTGGGGGTGGGGTGGGTGAAGGGGACTCTCCTGCAGGAGGCATGTGGAAGGTAGACGGTGGTGGGAAGACAGCCATGAGGAGTTGACTAACTGCAAGAAGTAAGAGACTCAGTGGTCCGAGGAGCCTTGGAAGTAGAGCACACCTCAGGCAAGCATCAGAAGCACGGAAGCTGGAATAGTGAGCCTCCAACTCCCATCTGCCGATCTGGGACAGTCGTATCAGAAGAATGGAGGTCCACGCGCTAAACACTGTGTGTTGGACAATATGAATGTCTGGAATACAAACCGTTCACAGACTCTGTGATCTCTCATTTGCCCCCAAAGTATCTAACTGTTCTGGGTGGCCTACGGTTGCCATGGTCATCTTAGGGGCCACATGGTGAGTACCTCTAAACCAAGGGCAACTTTATCTCTGCCTCTGCCTCCTAAGTGCTGGGATTAAAGCACCACCGCCACCAGGTGGCATTTTCTTAGTGACTGATGTGGGAGGGTCCAGCTCACTGTGGGTGGTGTCACCCCTGGGCTGGTGGTCCTGGGTTCTATAAGAAAGCAGACTGTGCAAGCCAGTCAAGCAAGCCAGTAAGCAGCTCCCCTCCATGGCCTCTGCATCAGCTCCTGCCTCCAGGTCCCTGCCCTGTTTGAGTTCCTGCCTTGGCTTCCCTCAATGATGAACAGCGCATTGGAAGTGAAAGGCAAATAAACCCTTTCCTCCTCAACTTTCTTTTTGGTCACAGTGTTTTGTCACAGCAATAGACACCCTAACTAAGATACCCACACCTATAAGTAAAGGTAAAATAAATCTTTAGAAGACCAAGGAGGACAGCACTTGAGGAGACACCAGTCAAAGACATCAATCTTCCTCCTTAAGACAGACACACACACACACATCCTCAAACCATCAAAAGCCCCGTTTTTTTCCTTTCTAGTTACTGCACACGACCTTCTGCTGTCTCTACTTCCTCCTTAGCTCCAGCAGAATGGTAGCCTTTTCTTGATAATGGCTCCATCAACAATTCTTACAACTGCCACATGTATGAACCTCCCTGGGAGACCCAGGTCTTACTTGTTGGGAGGAAGCAGGAGTGATTTGACCTCTTACCATAGGCAAACGTCTGTTGAGACATATACACAGCCAGTCACTGAGCTGCATGTCTCTTTCTCTCTCTCTCACACCCACATACACACACACCCACCCCCACCCCCACCCCCACAGCTGCCCACACCACCTGATGCAATAACTACTTTTAGTTTGATGATCTTGTCAACAAACGTTGCAACCCCAAGCCATTCTGCCACATGATCATCAGCTCCTGGCTGAGGGACAATCTGACAAACCTACACTGTGTCCCTTAATGTGCCTGCGTGCTACCTCCATGGCCACCAGGCACTGTGCTGAGGATCACCGCGGAGAGGCCAGAACGGCCCAGGGGCAGTAGATGCAACAGTGCAGTGGCTTCCGGGTAGCAGAGACAACTGGAACACTTCGGAGCAAAGGGAATAATAAGAAACAGGGTTTTGGGCTGGTTAAGAGCAGTTACTGCTCTTCTGCTCTTCCTGAGGACAGAATTTGGATCCTAGTAATCACAGTGGGTGCTTGGTTCACAACTGCCTGTAACGGCAGCTCCAGGGATCTGACACACGCTTCTGGCCTCCGAGGCATTCACATGCATTCAGTCACACACACACACGGATAAAAATAAAAATAAATCAAACTGTTCAAGAAACCCACCTGCAAGTAAAAACAGGAGACCTCATACCCATTGGAAGGCTCCCAGCGTGGGAGAAGAAGAGGTGTACACCCTGCTGCTGGAAATGGAAAACGCTATAGCTATGGGCTGGGTGCTTCCCGATACTCCTGCAGGGACCCAGGTTCAGCTTTCAACACCTACATTAGGTGGCTCACAGCCACCTGGAACTTTAGTTCCAAGGGATCTGCATGCGTGTGGTGCACAAACATAGACACACACATAAAATACACAAATACATCTTGAGAAAAAATGACACAGCTACAATGGAAAGCAACCTGAAGTCCCCCCCCCAATTAAAAACAGAATTATTATTCACCCACATTTCCCACTATGGTTCTATCTCCAAAGGGACTGGAAGAAATATCTACATTCTTGTGTGTGTTCATGAAAGCCAAGAGGCAGAAGCCAAGAGGCAGAAGCAACTCAGATGCCCATTACTGAGAAACAGCATTTCCAAGGAGGAAATGTGATCTATAACCAGGAGCTGAAAATTCAGATCCAATCTGGCCCACTGCCAGCCTTCCTAAATGCAACCTTAGTGAAATACATTCAAGCTAACACGATCTAAAATATATTTACACTCTGGCCCCTTGTAGAAAAGTTTTTTTGACCCTTGACCCGTGCATGATGCACAAGACACCTTACTCATGGATACTGACAACCACATCTGTCCCGACCATAGCCATCATGTCCTGTTGCTAAGAGAGGTCTGGGTCCTGGAAGGAGGGAGGCACAGGGAGGGGTAAGAGGTCAGGTAGGGTCACCTTGCAGGCCCACAAGCCAGTGTTATTGCAAGGGTAGTGAGTCACTGAGATTTTCTGGACTCCTCCCCCAGGAGAACAGAATAAGTAAAATGAACCCTTAGGTGCCACTTTCTCAGCACCTGCTGGGACAACGTTAATCACAGAGCATGGCTGATCTAACTCAGTCCCCACAAACACTCACCTGGAGGAAGCACCAAGCCCCTTCACAGCCACCTCTCACAGTCACCTCCCTAGTACCTCGGCTAGTGGCCAAGTTTCCAAATAAGCTCTGAGGCAAAGAAGAAAAACTTTGGCCTAGGGTGAACACCTGTAATTCAACACTTGAGAAGATGAGGCAGGAGGATAGCGTTCTAAGCCATTCTGGGCTATATAGAGAGATCTTATCTCAAAAAACAAAACGAAACCTAGCTGGACAAAACGGCTCAGAGGGTAAGGGTGTTTGTAGCCAAGACAGACTGAATTCCATCCCAGGACTCACATGGTGAAAAGGAGAGAATGGCTTCTGAATGAGAATGAGAGAATGCCCTCTTCCATATTAAACAAAATAAACAACCCCCTCCCAGCACACCCAGAATCAGAAGTTCTTAAACTCCAGAGGGTGCAGTCTTTTCTACTGCCCAACCTTCGTGTCTTCTCTCACTACAGACACACAGGGTGGCCTGTCCTACCCCGCAGGCCACCAAGTCAAACCCCTCCTCCCTTGGCGCGGCTGGGTTGGCCAGGTTCCAGCGCTCAGGCAACTGGCCTGGTCACTGTAGGCAGTTCTGAGGGCTGACGTGGGCAGGACGCACAGTAAGTGAGGCGCTTCAGCTTCCATAAACCACTGGGCTCTTGACCCCAGCACTGATCGTCCTTCCTCCGCGGGCTCTAGCCCTGTGGAATTTTCTATCAACTTTGTTCAAATTCCAAGGCCTGCGTCCTCTAGGCGTGCGCACCCGTTCCAGAGTGACTCGGAACTGCCTTTTTTTCCCTCCTACCTTGAGGCCTGGCGACGGGGCTTCTGCACTTCAGGGGTTCCCTAAGAAAGTCCTGGCCCTGTCCCACCGCAGTAACTTCCTGTATGAAGAGTCGCCAACTCAAACTCTTCAGGATGCCAAATCAGAGGCCAGTGAGAACCGTCCTTCCCACCCCAAGGCGTCTCGGGCCAAGTAATGACTCCGGTAGGACAAGGTGCGGGCAGAGATTCTGTGGACGACCCTCCCCCGGCTCAGGGCTCGCGCACAGCTCGGGGACTCCGTGGCCCTCGAGTCCCCGTTGTCAACCGCTTTCCAAGGAGCCCCCACAAGTCAGCAGGCAGCGAGCACCCTCTGCTCCAGTGGAGTCCCGGGACGTCGATCCCTGCGGCCACCTCGACCCGCCCCCCTGCGGGCGGGAGGGAGCGCTTCCCGGTGCTGTAGCACGCTTACCTCCCGCGGAGATCCGCGCACCCCGCACAACCGGCTCGTTTACGGTCACCGTTCCGGCCGGCCAATCTCTGCGCCGCCCACGTCTCGGGTTCCAACTCCTTGGTCACGCCCTCCCGAGGGCCGCCTGGCCAATCGGAGCCCTGGAACGCAGGCGGGGGCGGAGCCGGAGCGAGCTCGAGTTCCTCAGAAATGTGAGCGGGTGGGGTTGAACCGCTGGATGGCAAACTGGTCAGCTCGGGTTCGGGATGCGTGGGGTGGCGGGACTGGTCCCTGGTTGGAGTCCGGTTCCCAGCTTCTCTAGCCACCATGCTGAAGACTGAATCGGCGCAGGTTCGAGGCACGGTCCACGACTGTGGCACGCGCAACGGGATGGTGGGACCGTGGGCCCTCAGATGCTATCATGATGGCTATTTATTTTCGGCAATGGTGACACACCGTTTATTGAAGACCAGCAGAACTTTATAGAAATTTCCTAGTGGGAAATGTCAAAAATATAAGGGAAGAAACAGATGAGTTTAGTGGACCTCACGTTCTCGTCACGTAGCTACGCCGTAAGCAAGTTTAAGTACTTCTTGCTTGACCCCACCCAGGCTGGTGGTGACATTCGAAACTCAATTCCAAGCCTGCCTTCCTGTCTCACCTGCCCCCACGCACATCCTCTTCCACTGTCTTCTGGTTCCTCAAAACCACTGGACTGGTTCCACTCCCACCTTTGCACTCCCCTCCCTTTGTCACTTCAATGTCACCTCCTCGGAGAGATCTCCTTGGCCCCGTGGCAGCAATTCTCTACTTCGTCCGTTTTTGTTGTTGTTGGATTTTGTTTTTGTAAAGACAGGGTTTTACTATGTATCCCTGGCTGGCCAGAAACTCTACGTCGACCAGGTTGAACTCCCAGAGGCTTTGCCTCTGTCTCTGGAGTGCTGTAGTATAGTGTCAGTTGGTGTTGCCAAACCTGTTACATTGAAGAGGTCCGAGCTCTGCTTCTACCGTGGTGCCTGCTGGGCCAGAGTCAAGGCAAGAGGGAACTGGAGGGTTTTGAAAGAGCTAATGGAGCCCTCAGTGTTGATGTTAGGCGCAGACCCTTACCCAAGCTGGGTCTCCAGCCTTCCATCCTTTAATCCCCACCAAATTCCTCCTGTCACCCGTACCCTTACCCCTGTCAGCATTTATTGAGCCGCCATACTTTTAAGAACATTTCATTTTGGTTGAAATTGGTTTAAACATTTACAAAATGCACTGTGGTGAACATTTCAGATTGAAAGAATTCACATAAAATTGGAGACGTTTAGTCCCCTCTTATCCCTTCCTCACACAACCCGTATTGGGATTTGAACTCGGGGCCTCACAAACCAGATATACGCTACATCAATGAGCTGTATCACCATACCTGATTTTTAGCTTGACTTTAATCGGAGGATTTGGGGGCCTGGTGGCACGTGCCCATAAAGGTTGAGACTTTAAGTCCCATTCCTCTCTCCTCAACTTTGTTCTCTCTACCCCACCAGTACTGGGATTTGAACCCAGGGCCTCACATACTACACAAGTGCCAAATCAATGAGCTATATCCCCAGCCCAGATTTTTAGCTTATCTAAAATTTGGGGGCCTGGGTGGCACATGCCTGTGATCTCAGCACTCAGAAGGCTGAGGCAGGAGGATTGAGTTAGAGGTCAGCCTGAGCTACCGAATGAGACCTTGTCTCAGTCAGGCAGTCGTGGAAACACTGGTCTACTTCTCCACAGCACACTGTCCCCTTTAGTTGGGGTTCATGTTCTTTCATCCACCATGGTGCGCACCATTCTATGGTTTCATTCCGGGTCTCCACGACCCATGGATGTATCCCAGCTGGATCTTTGGTTGGTGGTGTAGCCAAACTCTTCACTGGCTAGAGGGCAAAGACAGGGTCTGAAGTCCCACAAGCTAGAAGCCTAACTGAGTCTCCCCCCATCTCCATTCTCCAGAGAGAATTCTCCAGTGATGGGTCAAAGGCAGAGAGGAGCCTGGAAGAACAGATTGTTAGATCTCAAAGCCTGGAGGAATGGTTACCTGAGGCACCTCTTTGACATAGCAAAGAAGATGCTGGCTGCCAGGTTCTCCAGCATCTCTTAGGATCCTTACAGAACCATCCTGGCTTACATACCTCACCTGCTACCTTAAGTTCTCCAGCTTAGTCACCGGGCTGGGCTTCCCTGCTGTCTCTCTTGGGCACTGCTCTTGGCCCCTGCTCTCCTGACGTTTTGACTTCTGGCTGTGGGATCCTCACCCCTTATTCTCAAAGTGGCAAGAAGAAATTTCCTAGCAGAATGTTTTCCCAGGAAGATAGTGGCCTTCCCTTCTCCCACCCAGGATATTCCGAGCACAAGGTCACTTAGCTCAGCCCAGCCAGCCACCTGGTACAGGCTGATAAAGATGGCCTAACTCAGGAACAGTGGCCTTGCTCTAAGAACAAGGAAAAAGCTGACTTCACAGAATGTGAGGGATCAAAAGTCCTTGTACCCATGCCAAAGCATCTTCAAGATTCTCTTTGTAGTTATGCCTTTAAAAGCTTACCCCACAGAGGAACTACAACTCCTCTCTACCTTGTTGTAACGGGGATGGAGATGAGTTCCAAACATGTTTGTAATATGCTGATCAAACCTTGCTTATTACAGTCTGGGCCTCTCTAGTGGTCTCTCTCTGGGGGTCGTGATCTGGGCACAACACTGGCTCTTATCTCTCCCCTGATCCTTCTTCCCACATGGCCCGGTTCAGTGTGCCAGCCATTTCACTGTGGACTTTCCAGATGACTCTGCCTTTGCTCTTCCTCGTAGCCACAGTAAACCTTCTCCTCCCTCATACCTAGGAGGATCATGCCCTCATTTCATTTCTTCATTCACAGATAAAAGGGTTCTATGACGTCCCAAGTCTATCTTCGGAGCATTGACACAAACTTCAGATTTAAATAGATGATGAGTTTGGGTAGTGTAATGGATTAAGTAAAATGCTGTGGCTAGATGGGCATGCCATGAGACCAGGCCGCAGGCCTCTGTGGTCCCGAGCAGGGAGCCATGAGGCGGGCGAGAGACAGAGATATGTATAGGCACGTCATGCAGAGAGAGGTTGGATATTTATTTAGTGGGTTATGGAAGGGAAGGGGAGAAGGGAGGGGAGAGAGAGAGAGAGAGAGAGAGAGAGAGAGAGAGAGAGAAAGGGGAAAGGTGGGAAGTGGGGAGAGACAGAAGCTGCCTCTTTGAGAGGGTCTAGAGGAAAAGGAAGAAACTCAGGCTGGAAGCTGAAGAGCAGCTTGCCTCTGCAGAGGGAGGGAGTAGGCGTGGTTTGTCTCTTAAAGGGACAGAGAAGACCATTACAGGTAAGGGGTGAGAGGATGGGCAGAGACCATTGTCTGAAGGTGACTGGGGTTGGGGTGGGGTGATCCTCCAGGAGGCTTTGCTAGTCCCAAAAGTCACGAATTTGGGACAGTGACTACAGAGCTCCCGTGTGTTTGGGGTTTTTGGAACAGGACGTTGTAAAAGCTGAAGGTAAGATGCTTCTTGTGTGAATGCCATGAAAGCGGTTAGATCCCCCTTGTCTTCAGACCTGCAGGCCTTTAGCGGGTGACATGCCTACTCATGGGGTAAGCAGGTGAACTGATGGCGCCATGCAGGCAGCCATGGTGGGCTCTCATCCTTTCTCATGTCCCCTGTGGGCGCAAGTGAGGAGTCTGCTTTACAAAGAGGCAGTATTCCAGTCCCCTCAAGCTCAGGAAGGGTACTGAGAATGTCATCCCAAGGGCACATACTGCTGTGTGGAGGGTTTTTTAAGCGGAGTCTTCAGGGTCATATTTCATGGCTGCCTCAATCCTCTGATCTCCCTCCCTCACCTCCTTAGCAAGGGTGGAGGGAGATATGGAGGTAGCTAGGATGAGAATCGTCCCCTCTGAGGGCTGAGCAGTCTTGTTGATTTATGATGGCATCTTGGCATCCAACAAAATATCTGGTGGAGAATGGCTGCCCAAAGAGGGGAGTCTAAAAGACCGGAGGAAGGAATGAATACCTGTTGATTCTGGAGACAGGCAATGCCTCCAGCTTCTTTCCACTGGTGATTCAGAGCCCACTGAGAACTCGGTCTCAGCTGTCTCCTTCTGTCCCAGCATCCCCTGCAGCTGAAGGGTGGGAAATCCCCTACAGCTACATAAACTGATCTTCCAGCCACCCACCCTTTCCCAGAGGGGCCTGGCTGTGGGTGGGGAGGCCTGAGGGCTCCTTCCCTCCTCCAAGGAAGAGGACAAACTCGTGACTCAAGGAAAGGCAGACGTTGAGTCAACCAAGCCACAAGCTATGGAAAAAATGAAGTTTCCTGGAGGCCTTTTCTGCTTCCTTGGCTAACAGTCCTTTCTGGGAAAAACTGGTTTCCAGACTCCAGGAACCAGGGAGTGAGGGAAGCCTTAGGGGTTTAAGCAGGCCCGAGCTAGTTTGTTTGATTGTTTGTTTGTTTTTTTCCCCCCAACCCTGTGTGGAAAAAATGCCTGGAATTTTCATTGCATGTTTGTTGAGTTCTGTTTACCCAACAAGCACAGCGCATCTAACACTTCATTATCTCGGCCCTCCCCTCTCTAAGCCTACTCATTTCCTGTGACTGGCTCAAGAAGCTGAGGGCTTGGGATGTTGCCCAGTGACAGAGGACCTGCCCTAAATGGTCCTGGGTTCCATCCCAGAAAAAAAAAGTTGTAAAGATACTTAGGGGTGGAAACAGCAGAAAATCTTAACCCTCGAAGAGCTGGAGAAAGTCTTGGCTCTGTAACGTTTCTCTGTAAGGCCCTGGGTCCCATCCGAGAACCACACAAAAGAGATTTAATAATCTGCAATTCTAAGTCAGGGGCTAGCAAACTTTTTGCAAAAAAGGTTCAAACAATAAGTATTTGGGGCTTAGCGAAGGGGTCTCCGGGACCACCACTGCAGAGTGAAAGCAGCCGTGGGGAACATGGAAGCAAGTGGTAAGTGATATGGAGGCTAAT